TTGAGGAAAGCAGTGACAGCAGTGTGAAGAGCTGATCTAAGTGTGTGGAGTCAGGACGGTTTTTCAGCAGCCGTACGTCAGAAAAAGAGTTCTACGACTGAAGAAGAAAGCTTCGTTTATACACTTTGTTGTGCACCTCTGGATTTTTGTAACTTGGCGATGTGACAAATAGTTAACTGATAAAAACGTTATTTACATTTCTGAGGATTAAACAAAGAAGGTTAGTTTGTAGATGCTTTAGAAACAGGAGGTGTTTAAAATCTACATTATAGTAAATATTTTGCAGCCAAATCAAAGAGTTTACAGGATATTCAACCTTTGTTTCTTTATAACAGGGTTTGTATGAAGGTGATAAAGTAGTTCATGAATATGAGATATGAGTTTACTGATAATTACAATCCCTCCTCGACAGGTTGGTTTATGGTGTTTTGTTGGTTTCACTCGTCGTCTTTTTGATTCTTCACATTTAATTTTGTTCGTTCGTCCTCTGACGTTTCAGAGAATAAAGCAACGAAGAGCTCGTTGAGCATAAACTCCTTTGTGTTTGTGCTTGTTCGCCATCCGTGGAGGATCACTATCGGTATCAAGCGCAAGTTTAAACGGAGCTTAAACGGAGTTTAAACGGAGCTTAAACGGAGTTTGGTTGTTGATTTTATTCGTGGTTAGAAAGCTCTGGAGAAAAAATTACACGTAATATTAATATTAACAATTCTATTGTGAAAAAACCTTAACGAGTGTTTTCATTATGGATTAATCAGCCGATCAGAGACTCACCGGGACGTCTTCCAGTTATTGTTTTGTGTTATTAAAGATATTCAGGTCATATCAAAGAAAAGCTTCACATCCTTTAGAACAGAGGTCTTCAACAGGGGGTCTGCGACCCCTAGGGGGTCCGCGGAGGTACTGAAGGGGGTCCGCGAAATTTTTGGATGATTAGACAAATTTCTTTTTTCCCAAACATGAATCTGTCTACTATTTTAATAGTTCAGTATTTTATGCGAGATAACGGGTATGTTTATGCATGGAAGTGGCACTAATAGGCCATCACTCATTTCCACATTTATGTTTAAATTGAAAAAGTCAATTTGAATAGCTTGTATGCATGATTATCATGCAATTGACAGACAATGTGTGTGTGTGTATACCTGTGTGTGTGTGTGTGTGTGTGTGTGTGTGTGTGTGTGTGTGTGTGTATACCTGTGTTTGTGTGTGTGTACCTGTTGAGGAAGGAGTTTCCGAACGCGTTGAGCTTCCTAAACGGCTTCTTGGGGTCGACCACCAGAGCATTACCGGGGATGATGCCCTCGTTCTCACCGTACATCACGGCGATGAAGCCGTCGGTGGTCGGCTCAGGACCGATACGCATACCTGGGAAATCCTGCTCCAACAGGTACCTGGAGGGAGGGAGAGAGAGAGAGAGAGAGATTTAGTTCTGCAGCCTCCTCACACACTACATTTCCCAAGTATCCTTTCATCTCAAGGAAGGAAGAGATGGAGGACGTGTCTCTTTCCTCTCACTTCAACGAGAGACAAACCAATATTTTCATTTTTAACTCTGTTTACCATCACACATCTCTTCTTTCACATTTTTCTGCACTATATTAAATTAGCACTAAGCGCTAGCTCGGCTACACCCGTAGGTCACGTGACCCCGGTGCCGTCTGGAGCTTTTATTTTGACGGGTAGCTTGAGCTAACAGGAAGAGTCGGGCGGTGTTTAAACTTGTCTTCACCTGCATCAACAGGAGTTTGTCCAAATCCAGATTATATACACAAACACACATCACAGGTTCGCAAAACTTTATTGACAAAGCTTCAATCTGACAGGAGATTCAAGAACAAGCGCACGATAAAAAGATCAAAATAAGGAAAACTAAAAGCATAAAGTTCTGTCCACGCGTGTGGACCAATCAGAGGCCGCGCTGCGATGCCAGTTTCACTTCACCTCCACCAAAGAAGAAGAACGAACAAAAAATATGTTGACTCTGCAATTTACTGGCAACTTCTTCCCATGATTCATTGCATTCTTTTCAGTTCCCATGATTCATAGCATTCCTTGGGGCAGGGTGGGGCGTCGGTGGGGGAACACACACACAGACACACACACACACACACAGTAGCAGCTATTACTCTGCAGCTCGTGTTTGACGTAAACTGACTGCAGGTCAGTTCTGAAGGTCTGGTTTGCTTCCAAAACGTACGACTGTTTGTACCCGACACGCACGCGCACGCACGCGCACACGCACGCACGCACGCACGCACGCACGCACACACACACACACACACACA